CACTTCAGCTCATCACAAAGGAGCACAGGACCCACAGCCATTTCCTAAATGGCCTTTGCCTGCCATCTTGGGATGAGGACCTAGATACTGTGGCACTCCTGTTTTAGCTGTGAAGCAATTTGCTTCTAAGCTCCTTGTGTAATAGGAAAAATGTGTGGGTGTGTTCTTAACATGTTAAACTGGTGTATTTTTTATGCCACACAGACTGATTATTTTTCTGTGGCTCTTCACCTATCGAATCAGTGAGATACATTGGCAGTGGGGGAGAAGAAGGTAAATACCACCTTGGAGAAAGAAATCACTATGCATCTTCAGTCTCCAGTTAGAGATTCTTCAGTCCACAAAGAAAGAGTAATCTTGAAAGCCAGGTTTAATTGATGAGAGAAGTTTTACATGCAAAAGCTTCCATTTCTATGACAAGAACAGCATTGGCTGTGTCAACATGGAGAATCCCCTAAGACACAGGCTAGAGGGGAAGCAGGATTGATGTTAGGGGAGAGCCCACCACCCAGAATGCAGCCCAAAGGTTGGCTTGCAGTGGTGAGGTAGGATGGATAATGCATCAATAGCTTCCAAAAGTGATTTATTTTTAACTGACAGGAGTACATGAAATAAAACTATTGGAATCACAGAAAAGCAGCTTTGTAAGTTGAGACACCAACATCAAGATTTCATTGCTTTCATAACAATGTGAACTTTTTAATTATGACCAAACATTAAAAGTAAATATAAAACATTGGTTATGCTTTGGCATAACTCAGCTGACCTGATCTTTCAACTGGGCTGTCCCAGGAAAAAACCTGTCCCCAGCATGGGCATCCCACATTCTAACTACACTCTTGCTTGAAAGTGGTCTGCTAGATAAATGGATCTGATATCACAGGAGCTTTACACCCAAATATTGTGGTTTGTAGGGCTCCAAATCTGATGTTTCTTCCAAGAAGGAACCAGAAGACCAGACATCCTTGGCCTCTGAGGCAAAATGGCTTGGAACCCAGGTTACCACTTTTCATTTTCATTTTATTTCTCTCTTCTCTCTCTCAAGAAAGAAAGAACAGTGCTATAGTACAAATGTAATCTAAACTAAATCGTACAGCTAGGGAGTATTTGTCTTTATGTAGCACCTGCCTGGACCAGCTGATTAGCTGACTGAAATGACCCAGATGCATTTCTGTCATGTGTGTGTGTTTAGCAGCTGAAATGTGGCATCTGTGCTCCTAGCTACAAAGTTAAGTAGGGAAGCACTGAGGAACCCCCAGGTTGGCCTGGACCTCACCCCAGTGTCCAGCTCTGCCATCTGGTCTTGCTCACCTGCAAACACTAAGAAGTTTAGCCTCTAAGATCAGGGTCATGGAGGTCCTGGGCTCTCTTACTCAGTTTGTAAATTTACTTGTTTAGCATGTAACCCATGCAGAACCCACGTGGCTCCTCTTCATACTCCTCATGACCCTGATATTGTCCCCTCCCCTATGACTGCCTGTCCTCCCATGAGTTCCCAGGTCATGGTCACTCCCAGGGACCTGCTGCTGCTTCTGGCCTCAGCCAGGCTTGCTCACTCACTTATCTGGTTTCCATAGACAGAGTTTGGGAGGTTTAGGACTATCTCAGTAGAGGAGGGAACAAAACCAGCCTGCACTGCTCTGGCCTCAGCATTCAGTTTGCAAGGGACAAGCACATCCTCTGTACCTCCAAGAGTGGCTTCTCTTGTAACTCCCACATGTCTTCATACTAAAGATATCTTTATCACTCTGTACCCCTTTTAAGTCACATCACACAGGACTCCCTACTCCTATGGTCTGAACTCAGTAGGCATCTGCCTTTGGAAGAGGATTTCTCTATGCTGAGCCCCTGGAAGAAGGTATGAGGGAGGGAAAACCATCACGACTTCATCTCCTAAAGATTTCTGGAATTCTCTCTTTTGCTTGTCTACACTGCACCACCCTAGTCCAGGCTCTGAGGACTATCAAGCAGCCAAAACCTTTCCTACCAAAGCTTGTGCCACAATCACTAAGAAGAGCATCCAACTGGTCTACCTTACCCACTGAATCCTTTCCTTGATCCTCAGCATGAGCCTGAGACATCATTCAAAATATAGGTTTGCTGACAGAGAACAAACTCATGGTGGCAATAAGGGAGGGAGAGATGGGCAAAAAAGGGGAAAGGGATTAAGAAGTACAAATACCCACTGAAAAAATAAGTCACAGGGGTGGAACATACAATATAGGGATAGAGTCAATAATATTGTAATAACTACGTATGTGCCAGATGGTTACTAGACTTATTGTGGTAGTTACTTCATAAAGTATATAAATGATTAATCACTATGTTGTACACCTGAAACTAATTTAATATTGTGTGTCAACTATAATTTAAAAGTAAATTTTAAAAGAAAGAAAGTGCAGATCTGCTGGGAGCACATGCTTCTTCCTGTTGCTATGGGAATGCAGTTGTAAGGCTCTGCCTGGTCTTGCCTGTTGGGACCTCCCCTCAGGCATGCTCCCTCCTGCTGTCTTCCCTCAGAAATGTTGGCTGCCTTTCAGCCCTAGACCTCAGCATGCTAACTTCCTCCCCTTCAATCCTCGCACAGCTGTCCCCTTGCTTGGAACCCTCCAGCCTACCTGCTGCTCCAGCCCTCCAACTAGCTAGCTGTATGTCTCTATCAATCTTCCCCAGTCTCTCTATCAAATCCCGCTATGCTAAGCTCCACCGCCAGCACATTTATTTGCATCTGACTGCTTCACTGACCACCTTCCTTACCCAAAGGGAGGCTCTGAGGACAGGAATTTAACCTGCTTTTGCTTCTCTGGGCTTTGCACGCAGTAGGTACTCAGTATGAATGTTTCCCCAGTGAGTGAATTTGCTTGGCCCTTTTTCTTTGCAAACTTAGTTGAATCCCTCCCTGATCCTTAGCCAGGCTTTTGCCAGCTTTGCCTCCCCAGGGAGCTAAGACTGATCCCCTATTTCTCTGGATCCCTGAGAATCACCATCTTTCAGAGCATTTAGCTAGAATGCACACAGACATCTTAATTTCTAATACAGAATATCAGCTTAGTCACCAAATCGTCTAACTCTTTTCCATCATTTAACTGACTGAAATGGTTAATGGACATGAGAACATGTTTATAGTGTGGTGGACTTCAAAGTGTGACTCTGATGGGGGAGGTGAGTGAGCGAGGGAAGGCAGCCCCAGGCAGCAATCTGGCAACTTGACCCCGCTGGGGGTGGGGGACAGAACAGGCCGACCCAGCAAAGAACCAAATGGTGCTCTGCTGGTAGTGGGGACTGCTAGGCTGCAGTGGGGTGAGGCTCATTTTTTCTCAGGGTGATGGAGCCCAGGGGATGGATGGAGTCCCGGGACAGTGCATTCCCACAGGTGGGGAAGGGCATGGAGGCAGAGCCACTGCTCCAAATGTGAGTGGGCTGGAGCTATTAAAAAAGGGTTAAGTGTTTCCTCAGAACAGTGGCTTCAACTCTGGTTGCACATTGGAATTGCTTGAGCAGCTTTAAAAATATTGGTACTTGGGTCCCAATTCAGACACAGTTGTCTGGGTTGTGACCTGGGTGTTGGTATTTTAAAAGCTCCCTGGTGGTTCTGATGTGCAGCCAAAGTTGAGAGTTGCTGGTTTAGAGGAGGAAGGTAATTCCAGAGCCATAGACAGTGTGTGAGAGAGAGAAGGGTGGGTGGTGGTTGTGTGAGGAAGGGACACCTTAAATGATGCCATCTGTGGGTTATTCAAAAGTGAATCAGATTTTATAAACTAAGTCCTATTAAAATGGCCGTCTGATATCTTAGAGCAGCCCAATGGTGGAAAAAATTGAACAATCACCTAATTTACTTATTTAATATGATGAGACTACATTCATCAGTCATTCTTTTGCTGTCACATAACCATGGAAACTGGGGGACAGTTGAATTCCCCAGGGGTTAGAATTGTGAAATCTTACTTTAGCCCAGCACTTACTTACTGGTCTTAGACTCTTGTATAAAATAAGTTTGTTTGAAATACACACACCCCACCTCTGTGCCTGAAGATAGTAAGTCTGGGGTGGGGCCTGGAGAAGGTGTGTCTAACAAACTAATGAACTGCCCAAGTAATTGTGTGACAGAGATGACCTGTGGCCCCACATTGAGAACTGCTGATTTAAGGACTGGGGATAAAGGCTTAATGTATTTGGTTTTCTTTTCTGTGTGTGTGTGTGTGTGTGTGTGTGTGTACACATTTAGTTTTATTGTAACAAAGCAACTTGAACACTTTTAACGTTTAAAACTGAGCATCATCTTCCCTTTCCAGTGAAACAAAAGAAAATTAAAAAATAAACAGAACAAAATTTCAATAGAGAAATGTCTATTCCAAATAAGATCCTACAGGCTCTGCTGATTGTCCCACTGAGTGGCAGGGCTCAAGTCATCATCAGGAGATTATTTTATTTTAGAAGTGTCATTTTGAATTGCAAGGATGTCTGTTAAACATCACAATTAAACATACCAAGGGATAAGTCATGTTGTCAAAATGCCCACTTAACCCACCCAACATCTCAAACCCACCCTTTGCTTACCTTCTATAACCCCTTTTTTTTAGGTTTTTTTTTCTTTTTTGAAACAAGAGAAAGTAGACAGATACATGTTGGTAAATGCTAACTGTCCATATTCACATAGAGACACAGTGTAATCTCTGAGCCCAATATACAGAGAAAGGAGGAAAAAAGCTAGAATTCTATGCACTACTACACAGGGGCCTAGCACCCTCCAGCTTCCAGCAGAGCTAAGGAAGGAGAAGGTCCCCCCCCGCCCCCGCCACAGAGCACGGTGGTGTTGATTCCATAAAGTTTTTGTCAAGATAGGAAGGGCTAAAAAATAAATTTGGAACAGAAAGGGGCAGAGATTCTTTTCCCACTGTGTTCTGCTCAAGGTACATCCCCCCCAAATAAGGTGAGAACCATGGTATAAAGAAGAGAAAAGAGACCTCAAAAATGGAGATTGAGCACAAGAGGAAAAAAAAAAAAAAAGGCTGCAACTTGCTCCCAGGGACTGGAGAAAATTAAAAAAGAAGATTGGAATCCATCAGTGTTCCATTAGTCATCTTCTCCTTCATCTTCCTCTCCTTCCTCCTCCTCATCATCATCTTCATCTTCTTCACCTTCATCCTCATCCCCTTCTTCATCAATATCTTCTAACACTTCCCCTTCTTCATCATCCATATCAGGGACCAAGTAGTACTGTAACAGATTTGGCCAGATATCATCTATGATGACTTATCCTAACTCATCAGCACCTGCATCAGAATGGTCAGTAAACCAGGTAAAAAAGCTCTCTGGTTCCTCATGCTGCCTCTTCCTGCTGGCTTTATTCTGTGTTTGACTTGAACGTTTCATCAAATCCTTTCTAGATTTCCATTTGATTTCAGTGGATTTTGACGATGGATCATCACTCTCATTTTGATGAAATTCTTTGGAGAGAACTTTATTTTTGAAGTAAGGATTTTCATGAAAATAAAATTCTATTCTGTAACCTGATTTAATATCTTCAAATTCTGTTACTTCAACTCTTGTCAAATAATGCAGTGCCTCTTCATCCCCCTCCCCAAGCAGTGTAGACACTTGTGGATGGTTCACAAATGTTGTTACCCCCAAATTTGGGATTTTGGTGATCAATTCTGACCTCTTCTGAAAAAATGGTTGGTGGAGTTTGTTTGATTTCTGTTCTACTTTCAAAATCTCCTCACTGGCTTGTTCATTAAGTCTGTCTATTTCATTTTGTACTTCATCAATATGTTCAACTGCTTCTTGCTGTTCTTTTTCTTCCTTTGGCAAGTCCTGAGAGGTTGGCTTCTTCTCTGGCTTGGGGGCAGGAGGAGGTCTCAGTTTCTTTGTGAGGGATGAGAGCGAAGACGGGGCGTTTGGGAGCCATGTTGTGAGATAAGCTGGAGAATCTGACCGCAGGGAAGCAGGGCTGGAAGCAGCGCTGAGAAATCGTATTTGGTTTTCTTAAGGGCACTCTAATCTACCCTATCCGCATCTGATGTGACAGTATTTCCAATTTAATGGAAGCCAAAGTGAGGAAAAATCAATCTTAGCTCTGTAGTCTAAGTGTGTGTCTAGAGTGAGCACAGAGGATGTCCCATTAGGTACGTCCTCACACATTACAAAATTGGTGTGTGCATAGCTTAAACCTGTCAAGGAGTATTTTATACTCCACAGTTCAAGGCAGCACCACATCTGAAGCGCTGTAAGAAATGCTGAAAGCCTTCCAGAACCTTCCACCTAAGATTGGGGAGCATGGGAACAGCTGGCATCTGGGCTCATCTTTGCCTCGGGCCCTCGTTGCCTGAGAGGGGAGCCCCAAAGATGGAAGATGGCCCAGGAGAAGTTCTGCTGGGAAGACATTTCATAATTTGGGGTACTCAGTATTACTCCCTCATCACAGCCAAGGTATTCAAGCTGACTACGAGACGGTGGGCATGTGTCCATACTATATGCTGTGCAGTAGAAAAGCAGGCCTGTACTAAAGTAAAAGCAGTGACAGATCTACTACAGGGAAGAATCATACTCCCAATGTGCTATTTTTAATGGGACTTAACATTTCATTTTGTTGTTTCTCTAGGGAGTCATTTAACCCTAAGTGTTAGGAGAGAGCGCACATGTGCCTGGTCCTGAGCTCAAGCATGTTGGGCTAAAGGAAGGGAAAAGAGAACAATGCATTGGGATTCAGAGGAAGACGTTGGGTAGCAACCCCATTGAAAGCCTGGGAAATGGCCCCTCTGGCACCTTCATTTTCACTCATGGGGAGGACTTGCTACCCCTCCCTACCCCATCAGAGGTTAAGGCGATAACACTAGCCTCCAACCAACCACCTCAGCTGCGAAGAATGGAGACTGGAAAGTGAGCGTGGGAGGGAGAAGACCCTTGCTGATGCTAATGCTCTTGTTGAAAGATCAAGAGACCATGACAAAGCAGCACAGTCTCTTCATGAGTAAACAATGGCTCCCAAGAGGAATGGAAGAAATGAAGCAGTATTAGGAAGAAAGTCAGGAACCAAATAAAGACTCAAGGCACTGGCCAAGGCACAGCCATAAATCAGAGAATTGCAACCAAAGCACAGAAAACTTCACACATCCTTGCCCTGGCTGGTGGGGCTCAGTAGACAGAGTGCCAGCCAGCAAACCAAATAGTCACTGGTTCAATTCCCAGGCAGGGCACATGCCTGGAATGCGAGCCAGGTCCCCAGTACAGGACATGTAAGAGGCAACCACACATTGGTACTTCTCTCCCTCTCTTTCTCTCTTCCCTTCTCTCTAAAACTAAATAAATAAAATTTAAAAAAAAAAGAAAAAGAAAAGAAAACCTCACACATCCTGGAGCAACATTCAGAGCTCTGAGACGTAACATGAGCAAGTGCTGAGAGCACATATTTCTGTTGCTAATGTCTAACCTAAAGGATGACCTTGGTATAACAGTGAAGTTTAATGAGCAGCATTCCAAGGTATTACAAGCCCATGTTGTCCCATGTTGTCCAGATAATTGAAATGGCAGCAGCAACAAGGAAAGCCACTGAGACTGAACATCCATGTTGTATAATATAGAAAAAAAATTTCAACTTAAACAGGAAATAAAGTATTTAATAGAAGTCTTTCAAACTTAAGATTCATATTTTAGCCTCTTGAAAGATGGTGCATAAGGAAGTACAATCTTTGTTGAGTCAATTTTAGTCAATTTTTGTCATGTGGTCTAAGCCTACTAAATTAATTAATGGAATGATAAGAAATCACTACCTTAATCTCCTGACCAGTGATTACTTTTAGATTATGTGCAATACACTGAAATAACATGTTTAAAAGATGGTTTCTGGCCCTGGTCGGTGTGGCTCTATCAGTCGGATCATCGTCCCATACCTGACAATTTGCAGGTTTGATTCCCAGTCGAGCACATGCTTAGGTTGCAGGTTCCACTCCTGGTCCAGGCACGTACGATCCCCCATCACAACCAGTCAATGTTTCTCTTTTGCATTGATGTTTCTCTCCCTCACTTCGTCACTCTCTGGGAGCAATGAAAAAATGTCCTTGAGTGAGGATTAAAATAAAATGAAATTTTAAAAAATAAGATAAAATAGGTGGTTTCTGAAAATGTATAATAAATGGACCTAGGCTTTATTCTTACTAAAATATAATTTAAATATAATTCACGGGATGAACGGATGAGAAATTGTCATAATAACATCACAGGGTAACTCTATATTTACCTTTTTGGGGAATTATTGTACAATTTTTCATGGCCACCAGCAATTTATGACAACTTCAATCTCTTCACATTCTTGTTATTATCTCTTTTTGATTCTAGCCATTACATCGTGGGTGTAATGTGGTATTTCATTGTGGTTTTGATTAGTTTCCTTAATGATTAACAACATTATTCATCTTTTCATGTGTATATTGGCCTTCTTCACATGTTTTCCTGGGAAAAATATCTGTTTATATCTCCTGCTTATTTTTAAAGTAGCATGTGATTTTAAAGACACAAATTAATCTTCCTGTTATTGAGTAACAACATATTCTAGATACAAGCCCTTTACTAGGTAGGTAACTTGAGAATATTTTCTCTTACTCTTACTTTTTTGATAGTATAGTTCTAAGTGTAAATGTTTTTCATTTTGATGTAGTCCAATTTATTGACCTCTTCTTCAGTTGTTTGTACTTTTGCTGACATATTGAATAAACCATTGCCTAGCTCAGGGTTATTAAGACTTAGTCTTATGCTATCTCCTAAATGTTTTATACTTTTCACTCTTACATTTAGGCTTATAATCTGTTTTGAGTTAATTTTTATTTATGATGTGAGATAAGGGTCCAACTGCATTCTTTCGCATGTGAATATCTACTTGTTCCAGCATTATTTGTAGAAAAGACTATTCTTTCTTCCCAAAAATTGTCCTGACATCATTGTCAAAAATAAATGGGCCATAAATGTGAGGGCTTATTTCTGAACTCGTAACTCCAGTCCATGACGATGCCTATTTCTATGCTAGTATAGCACTATCTTGATGACTACAGCTTTATAGTAAGTTTTGAAATCAGGAAGTGTAAGTTCTCCAGCTTTGTTCTTTCTTCCATAATTGTTTCAGCTATTCAGAGTGCCATAAGAATTTTAGCATCAATTTTTGCTAAAGTTTGCATCCAGTTTGTCAATTTTTGCAAGAAAATCTAGCTGGGACTTTGACTCTGTAGATCATTTTGAAGAATATTGCCATTTTAACAGTATTATGCCTCAAGCATCCTTGTTCTGATAGATTCATTAAATACTTCTGTTTATTATCGTCACTCACCAATTTCCTCAAAGGACGCAGAGCTCCAATCGGCAATTTTTCTTTCATCTAAATTCAGGTTACAACAATGAGAAAGAAATAAAGGCATCACCAGGTAAAGCAAGCAGACTGTGTTTCAATTTTTAAAAGAAATTTAGAAAGATCACTTGAAAATCTTCAGCTTTTTAATCATCTCCATCAGTTTTAGCTGTTTTTTTGTGTTGTTTTGGGGGCTTTCGTTTTTGTTTTTAGTTCCCGTCTCTGCCTATACAGTGTTAATTGCTATAGAAAGCCATTTTATAATGGACCTACTCTGGCTGTCCTCAGTGGTTGATAAGATGGAATTGTCAGCACCCTGGTGGGACAATACTGAAGATGTAAATATGGCTGTCTGCTTTACTTTTTTTCTCCAGATATACTCTGTTATGGGGTCAGGTTTGTGGCTCCAAGGAGGGAACTGCTTTCTCTGAAAACTTACTGTCCCTGAACATAAATGAGTGGTCTGCTGAGTGAGGCAGGAAATGCCAGCAGAGATTAAGAGCATGAGTCCATCCATCACTGCATTTTGGTGAGCCCTGGGGCAGGGTGGCTGTGGCTGTACACAGCAGCGGGAAAGGTCATCTGTCCTTCCCTGCACCTTAATAACACAAGACTGCGATACAGGAAGTGCTAATTTGGTTTACTTTGCTGAAGTCGCAGTTACTAACCCCATCAGAAGTTGTTGATTTTTGTCTTGGACTTGGTGATGTCAGCTCACAGTCACAAGCCTCGGCTCCCCTTGCTGTTCCCTCCCCTAAGTAACCCACACTGCAATTCTTCAGCTGTGGGCTCCTTACCTGGGCTTTGCTCTGGGAGTCCTTTGTTCCGTCCATCCCTGAGCCAAGTAGCCCTGGCGGTGATGCTTCCTACTGGAGAGAATTCTCCACTGACGACCCACTGGGCTCCCCGTTGGAAGCCTGGCAAAAAGGCTCTGAGGTGGCAATTCATGAAGTGTTGGTGGCCTGGGTCCACTGTCTTTAGATTGAAGGAAGCAGAGCCCCTGGGGGACCAGGGTTGGGGCCTCTTTGATAAACGTTCCTGGGATCTCAGTCTAAGCTGAGTATTTGGCATCTAGCCACAAGCGCCCTCTCAAGAACTGTTAAATGTTCTAATCTATCACAACAACCAGATATATTGTCAATATAGTGATTTCTGTGACTTGGGATTATTACTTTCTTTTCCTCTCTAAACGCAGGATTTAGGAAGAAAGGGAAGTCCGGTCGTAGAGATTTCAGGGTCAGCAGTTTGGGCTTCGGCTTTCTCTCGGCCACCTCAGTTCTCCCCTTGTAGCTCAGTGGCAGTTGCAGAGGAAGGAATAGTGGTCTGTGACGAAGGCCAGACCCCTGAATTAGGCAGGGGTTAGGTGGGCAGGTGTCAATCCAGGGTGGAAAGCAGGATTGTTAGTAAAACGGTGTAACTATGAAATTCTACTAAAGTAGACACTCACTTAGTAGACACATTTTGATTATGTCCTTTCAGCTGCCAACCTGAGCATTGACTGAATCCAGTTTGTTTTTTAAAATATGAACTTTTGTTTTCACAAAACCAATAGTTATTTAGGAAGGACCACATTATTCAATAAATAGTGAGAAATTG